AGACTGATACTTCAACCCAGGACCATGCATGGAGATAACCTAGAACCCCTGCTCAGATGTAGCCCAAGTGGGTACAACTGAGTACCCAAGTGGGTACCCTAGTAAAGGGAACAGGGACTGTCTGTGATATGAACTCAGTGGCTGGCTCTTTGATCACCAACCCCTGCAGGAGGAACAGCCTTACCAAGCTACAGAGGAAGATGATGCAGCCAGTCCTGATAAGACTGGATAGGCTAAGGTCAGATGGAAAAGGAGGAGGACCTCCCCTATCAGTGGACTTGAAGAGGGGCATGGGAGGAGATGAGGGAGAGAGGGTTGGATTGGGAGAGGGCCTACAGCTGGGATACAAAGTGAATAAACTGTAATTAATATAAATAAGAAAAATAAAACTTAAAAAATGATTAAACTAAGAAAAAAAAAAGAATTACCAAAACTGAAAAAGTAAAACCTTTACTATTATCAGATACTGTGATTATGTGTATTGGAACCACAAAAGATTGTTCAGATAAAGTACAAGTCTTTTAAGCTGACAACTTCTGGATATAAAGTCATACAACTATTTGACTATTTCTAGGTCCAAACAAAAGACAAAGTAAGTTTTTTGAAAGACACGATATCCAATAGAATTAAAAATATTTCCTACCTAGGAATAAATTTAGTGAGATAGCAAAACTTCTACACACACAAAAAAGTATGCTTTATGCAGAGAAAAGCATGTGTTACCAGGCCAGCAGGCAACCTCAAGTGTTTTTTTACTGTTGCTTTCCAAATGTATTTTTTGAGGCAGGGTCTCTCACTGAAGCTGGACCTCAGCTATTGTCTAGACTGGCTCTTGGTCTCAGGGATCCTTCTCAGTCTTGGGATTAAGGTGAGTAGTTCCTCCTCAAGATCTTTACATGGGTGTTGGGAGAGCCAAATTCAGGTCCTTGGGCTTGCACAGCAATTTGCCTACCAAGCCCTCTCCAGGCTAGTCAGAGAAATCTTACTGAATCTAAAGAAAGAATAGTAATTTCATGGTTTGGAAGACTTGAAATAATAAAGACATTTTTCCTTGAGAGGTAGATGCGATATAAACTTCAAAATCTCAATAGTTTTAGTCTTTGTTGCTGCTTTTGTTTTCTTGGGTAAAACTTAAACTGATTCTAAAATATTGTGCAACATCAAGAACTGTGAAAGTCAATGACTGGGCAATAAATTCCTAATGAACAAAGAACAAGATATGAGGATGAGTTCTACTTGATCTACTGACTGGAAACTCTTATAAAAGCACAGTGTGGTTTAGAAGAAATTTTACTAGTAGACAAGGCGTCAAATAGGCCACATTCATTTAGGCTCTTGCTTCAAAATAAAAGCAGATCCATCGAGCAGTGAGGATACAATGAAGTTTTTGCCAAATTATGCCAGATTAAATATGTGTATACACACACACACACACACACACACACACACACAGTTCTTAAGTAAAACATAGCTTCCATGTTATATGATATGCAAAAATTAAATTCTAGTGAATATTAGACATAAACACAGATGATTGATTGTCTTTTTATTTTCTAGGAGGAAAAGACTAAGTTACTGGTCTCAGTGTAAAAGAAAATGAATCTATAAAGGAGTTGGATGTTAAAATGAAAAACTTGCTCTCATTAAGGAACTGAAAAAGTAAAAAAGGAAATGAAGTTTCTGTCACACTTACACAAACAACTACCTCATCTCGAGAACTTTTAAAAACTCCTATATGTCACTAAGAAAAGGACAAAACAACTCAGTCAAAAATGGCTAAATATTTGAGCAGCCATGTCACAAAGCATTTCGAAATGGCCACTGAGTATGTGAGAAAGTTAGCAACTTCATAAGTTAGAAAATAAGTTAACTGAGACAGTCGGTATTATTACAAAGAACAAGAATGTGGAACAGCTACAAGATGCAGACCCATAAGACCCCAATGAGCCATCAAGGTTTTACCAACAATATAACAGATGTCAGTGTACGAATCAATGGTTTTTACACAGTACAGAAAGCAAATAACCAGAGCCACAAGCTCTGTTTGTTTTCTGTTCTTGACAGTCTATGTAGCCTAGGCTGAACCTATGTAACCAAGGATAATTTTAAGTGTGTTTTAAAGATCTTATTGTTTTTATTTTTGAGCACGTGTCTTTGTTGAGTCTATGCTTGTCTGTGTTTGGGTGCCTGGAAGACCAAATGGGGCAACAGATCCCCTAGATCTGGAATTACAGACAGTTGTAAGTCAGACAACATGGGTCCTCCTTTCACTGTGTGGGTCCAGGGCAGGTTTCTCAGCTTGGCCATAAATAGCGTTACCCATGGAGCCATCTCACTGCCTGACCCTGAACTCCTCCTCATCTCTTTTGCCTACACTTCTGATGTGCTGGGATTAGACAGTCCACTATATGGTGCTGCTGATCAAATCCCAGGGCTTTGTGCCTGCTAGGCAAGATGCCGAGCAGTGGACCACATGCCCAACCCTCACTTCTTAGCAATCACCACGAGGACCAGCCGTGGAATGTTCCTGGCTAGCTCTAGTCGGACAGGTTTTCCTTTTACCTCAATATTCATTGTACAAAAGTCCTAAGATCTTCTAGAAAGTCTCCCACCCTGACACCCACCAAAGACTCTCTTCCTGTCTTCACATGCCCATCCTTTTTTCCTCAGGCCCCAGGTAAGTGCTGCTTAGTAAGGGACTTCTTCCTTTTCCCCACTGCTACCCTGGCTCCAGTGGCCAAGACTACCTAACAGCGCATATATTTCTTTCTTTATGAAGCCTAGGCTGGCCATTTTCAGTCCCCCAGCCACCCCTGAGTTTCCATTCCATCCCTGGGAATCTGACGTCAAGAGGCCACATCACCAGGCCTACCTGTCCAGTTGGCTTCTGTTGGGCTCCACTGGGTTGTTTTTCCCAAGAACGATTGAAGCTGGATGGACAGGCATGCCCACCCTTCTTGATGTGATCCCCATTTCCGGCAGGATGGACCACCTCCTCCCTGGCTCCAGCATTCATTTCTCTGGTGAAATCACTGCTATGATACTAACAGCCTGCCTTGCTTTACTTTCACTGACTGAGAAAACCAACCTAGCCTCTGTCTTCTAAGTGTTCAGTAAACACTCCTCACTCCATGGAAGCTGACCTCTGCCTTTTGGCTGGAGCCCTCCACATTGGTAACTTCAAATGGATTTATGTAGCTGTTTCATCATCTGTCTTCTACTAGGCTGCAAGCATCATGACATTGGCACTTCTGATGTTGCCAATAAACACTTGCTAATGATTTAGCAATTTAATGAATGAATCCCACATTATTACATTCGAGACATAGTACAACTGCTTCCAAGACATCCCTGATACATTTGAGAGAGTACCAATTTATCCGACCAGGCATTTTACCACCATTGGTTGGAAACAGCTTTTATTGGCAGGAATGTCTGTGCTCTCCAAGATAATGTCAATTGTTCCAGAAACGGCATCTGCAAAAGCAGTTGGGTTCTCAACTTAAAAAGATAGAATTTTATCCTCAGAGACTAAGTCATCAGTGACAGATTCTAAGTGGATAAGATGAGATATACCAATAGACTCCCAACTGCAATTCTAAATATCGGAATAGAATAAATTAAAAAAAAAAAAAAAAAGAAGACACCCCACCCCTGCCTAATTTTTCATCCCTAGTGCAAATGGCTGGGAAATATGGATTCTCAGCACATGATCCAGAAAGTCGGATTCAACAGGAAGCCATCTGTCAACATGGAGTTTACTGACATATGTTGTCTTAGGTTTAAAGGAAGGTGATCTACCTACATCCCCAAATTACAATGTAAATAATACATTAAAATTCCCAGTTCAAGACCTTCTACAAAGTGAACAGGAGCATTACAAGACCGATCTCTAGTCAGAATTTTCTCAACAAGATCTGCAACTCTACAGATTTTCTGTATCACAGTTAAAAAAAAAAAAAAAAAATCAGGTTACCCATGGCTTGCAGCAGCCAGATATTTAAAACATAAGAATGCTAGCATGTGCTCTACTGGAAAACACCTGAATTTTAATGTGGAGAAAACCAGTTTATAAACATCAGTTATATACCTCAACAAGAACTTTCATTTCACAGCAGGCCATTGTAGGAGCAATTTACCTAATACCCACATTCTGCGAAATCTAAAGTCTCAACTCGGAAGATGTCAACTGTCCATCCCATTTCTGAAGTCTCTTTTCTAGTCAGCCATCTATTTCTTTCACTAACTTTGGCTGCAATAAAAGTCTAGTAACAAAAAGGAAAGCTGTACTCTCCCTATGTCACCTCCCCTTATGCAAACCTGCTAATACAGTAAGATCTTCCTAATACAGAAATATCCGGGTTATCAGAGATCGCTAATTATCTTGATAACACCTTGTTGAAGAAGTTTGAGAAATAACTGAACTAGTTAGAACTCAGTTATAGGGTTAATTCTTTCTACCACCAGAACCAAATAACTTGCTTTGTTTTATGTCTTATTCCATGCAACAAAAGAATTCCATTTCCCTTATTCATCCTCATAGGTCATATGCATATAGGAAGTGACCACATCAGCTTCTTAACAGATTGCTTCCCTGATAACAAAAAGGTGCTTTACACTTGTGACTGCACATAAAGACAGCTGAGGCCAACCTAACTGCCGTCCATCTCTCTTCTAATACATTCAGAAATATGTTAAAGGGTGAGGGTTTGCAATACGGCATTCAATTCTTAATGGTAATGCTCCATTTACTCATCGCTTTGCTCATCTTAACTCACTCATGGGTCACCCAGGACCCCATCGCCCTACAGGGTCAGGAAATCGACATTTCTCTCCTCTCTGCGGGGGATGGGGGTGGGAGGGAAGAGGAAGAATCACAACTCCAGATGACTTCCAGGCACCCAGGTTGAGCTGGCTGTCCAGCTCCGGAGACAGGGCGGCATCCTGGGTGTCGGCAGCCAGGGGCCCGGGTGGAGCCTCCCGCAGTGCCCGGTTCTTACCCGCCAATCCGCCGCCGCCGCCCCCGTCGCCCCCGTGGCCCTTCCTCCGTTGCAGGATGAAGTAGGGGTTGGCCCGCTCGGTGATCCACAGCGCGTTGGCCAGCAGCACCTCCTCGGGATTCACCCACATGGTCCCGGTGGCCGCGGGCAGTCGCACAAAGGGGCCCGCACACTGGCGCGCACTCCCGGGCACACGCTCTCTCGCCCGGCCGTGGGGGCGGCGGCCGCGACGGCCTTCAGCAGGCTGCGGCCCGCGGCTCACGGCCCGCGAAAAAGACCCAGCGAGCAGTCGGGAACGACGACGGGGATCGGGACAGAGCAAGTAGCATCCTCCCCGCGGTGCCGCACTCGCCAGGCGCGCAGCCTCGCAGCCCGGCCCGGCCCACAGCGGTGCGAGCAAGCGGCAGGGCTAGGTCGCGAGGCGCGGCCGCGTTCAAGGACGAGCTGTGCGGAGACAGGGGCCCCCAGGCCGCCGTGCTCGCCAGCTGCCGAGCCCGAGATCACCGCTCGTGGATACCGCGAGCACGGGCAGCAAGCTGGAAGGACGCTCCGGACGCTGCGAGTGAATGACGACAGCCCAGCTCACTCGTCGCGAGCCCTGGTGACCGCCGGTGGCTCCGCGCGAGCCAGGTGGGGACCGTGTGCGGAGCGCAGGGCCCCACGCCCATCCCAGCGGGGAAGACGCTGTCCGCTCGCAGAGCCTGCCTGCGTGTAGTGTGTGTGTGTGTGTGTGTGTGTGTGTGTGTGTGTGTGTGTGTGTG